GTAAAGAGTAATAATAATAATAATAATAATAATAGTAATAATAATAATAATAATAGTGAAAATAACAAAAACAAAAACAACAATAATAATGATACATAAACAACACATCAATTTTAAAGTTATTATTTGGAGAGTGAAAATTGATGGCAGGAAATAGGAATAATTAGAAAAATTGAAAAAAACTGAGAAAAATTAACAGAAAGTTATTATTATTATTATTATTATTATTATTATTATTATTACAAATATTATTATTTTAGTGAAATCGATTCTATTAAAATCTTGACATTATTTTATTTTTTTACAACACCGAATAATAAAATAAGAAGGTGTAATAAAATCAGATCCCATCATCGTAAGGGAAGGAAGTCGAATCCAACCATTCATCGCCGGTGATGAACTCCGACACCGTGAAATTCCACGCATCATCGTACTCCATCACATGATAACCCGCCCAATCCACCCGATTATCCGTACCCGAACCCGGACCGCTGTTTTGATACTCCCCATAGTACAATGTGTCCAACCCTTGGTCGTCGCCGCCGACGCCCGCCCACCGGGTCCACCCACGCGGGTCAATGAACCCGCCGATGTACGATTCCATCACCACCGTCACGGAATAGTTCCTCCACGGCCGGCCCAAGAAGCTCTTGACGGCGTTAGAGTTTCCGGCCAGGTCCACGGCGGCCAAAACAGAGCAGTTCTGTATGGAGATCCCCGTCGCCTCGTATGGGCTGTCCCGGGACTGGGCGGCGACGACGGTGAACTGCCCGGGCAAGGGCATTCTGGTGACGATGTTGCAGCCCTGGAAGGCGGCGGCGGCGTTGCCGAAGATGAAGTCGATTGTGCCGGAGATGTCGCACTCCCGGTAGAACTGGCGGAAGGAGTGGACGTAGAGGGAGTCTTGGAAACCCGTTATGGCGCACCGGTACACCGCCGCTAAGTCCGAGTTGACGCGGAGGGCCACCGCCTGGTGCTTCGCCGGCCCCGCCGTGTTCTCGAAGGTGATGTCACGGGCTAAGAACCCGTCGCCGGAAACAGCTGTTTGAGAACAAAATCCAGTGAAACACAGTTACTCCGTATTACTCGTATATGAGTTCCTAGTTCCTACCCATTTTCCATAAAGAGCCTAAAAGTTAAAATGACACTCATTTTGTTATATTTCGGAAAAAATCAAATGAAAATACTTTTAAAGAAAAAGATATGTTATGGGGCAAGTTATTTAGTCAAAGGAGTACATGTCGAGTACAGCCTTTTTATTAGTATCCTAAAATTCAACCGACAATACCAATTTATGCAAAATTAAGGATGTTCTATTATTTCAACTAGAACAGTACGGTACTGCCTATTTTCTAGTTTTCCTTATTCATATCATCTGGAATTAATTAGAATGAAATTACCAACGGTGGAGGATCGGAACGTCGTCCAGCCGTCGGCGACGCTTCTGTTACCGGTTATGACGGTGACGTCACGCCCGTCTCCGAGCAAAACAATGTTAGGCTTCCAGCTTGGGATCTCCACATTTTCTTGATAGATCCCCTGCCTCACGTAGATGAATATCCTGACAGCGCTGTTATTTGGCGCAAAGTTAACGGCGTCCGTCACGGTGGTAAAATTCCCCGTCCCGTCCGCCGCCACCGTTAGCGTCTCCCCCTGGCCATCGTAATCCCCGGCGTCGCCGTCACCATCGTCTTGCTGCTGCAGAAGGATGCGGCGGTCCCTCCGCGAAACCCACCCCGGGAAATCCGCCGACATGAGCCTTCTCCGCCCCCGCCGGTTCCCGCCGCCGTGTCGGGGGAGAGCGGACAGGGCATTGCTGACCTGCTGGTAGGTGTCCCGAATAGAACCCAACAGCGTCGCTTTCATGGGCCCCGCCGCCGTCTCCAGCGCCTCCGAGCAGGTGGCTCTGTTCGTCAGCGCCGCGCTGAGATACGCCTTCGCGTCGGCGACCTTGCCGGATTTCACGCCGGAGACGGACTTCTTCAACGCCGAAACCGTAACACCGTTCAGCTCTGTACAGTCCCGGACCGTCCCTCTCTGGGTCTCGACGATGTTGTGGCCGGAGGCGGCGGCGACGAAGAGGCGGGAGAGCTCGCCGGCGTCGGTCAACGCGGTCTGGAGGGACTGGAGGAGAAAAGTCAAAATGTTAGGATTTACTTGAATTGTGACGGAGAGTTTGACGGAGCTGAGACAAGCTTCGGGGTAGGGAGTGGAGTGGCAAAACGACGTCGCAGAAGTGATGGGGTAATTTTTGAGATCTACAGTTTCAGTGAGGACTAAGGAGAACTGAAGAAGAAGAAGAAGAAAGGTCCGGTGAACTATGGTGACGGCCATGGCCGCCGCCGCCGCCGGGGTAGATCTCAGCTAGGAAGAAATATGAAGTTTACAATGCTCCATTATTGTGTAATGCCGTATATACTACGGACTGAGGACTACTATATACTGGAGTGATACAATGGCCAATTATTAAAGCATTTTGGATGCATTAAGAATGTGAATCTTTCAACATTTTTCTGATATTTTTTTTGTAAACGTATCTGCTTGAGTTTTAGTTTTAAGTGGAATTTGATAATAAAAATTTGAATTTAACAATTGAAACTATGAAATTTAGAGCCAAAGTTTGACCTTTTATAAATGGTACGTAAAAAATACACTGTATGACAAAAAACAATTTAATGGGTAATTGTTGTGCCAGAGTATATTAAATATAAAAATGGTAATAAAAAGTCTTTTGCGGACAAACAATATAGAATATTTTGAAAAATTTAAGGCAGGCGAGGGAGAGTATTGATTTTATTAATGTATTTATATGAGTTTCATGAATGTAAAGGTCTCCATTGATATCAACATTAAAGATTGGTATCCTACAGTGGCTTTTAACGTTAGTATTTTCAAAACTAATCTAATGATAATCGAAAACGATGTTCCAAACAAAACCAAAGTCTATTGTGATTTGTGAAGCACCTAATCAGTAGTGATACGTATATACTTCAGAGTCCAAACCAAAATGGATCTCAATAATACGGAGTAACTACAGAAAGGGCTACCCACCTCACATTTTCACATGCATGGTTGTAACCGACATTTTAGAAAAAAGAGTAGTATTACTAATTTTAGGGTGTCTTAGATAATCACACAAGATATGAGTTTTGATCTCTCTTCAAAATTCTTTTTTGGTGTTTGGTGAATAAAAAAAAATATATCGAATTTGATATCTCTAGATATCTTAAATCTTTCAAATAGAGGATTTTTGATATCTCCCAAATTTGGGATATATCAATATGATGTTTTTGATATCTCTCTTAATCATTGATCATTCTGCGTCACCGGCTGCCATTGTCACCACCAACCACCTCCGTTACTGGTCATTCCCGTTTACAAACAACAACAACCCAGTTAAATCCCACAAGAGTAATGTCTGGGGAGGGTGTGTGTACGCAGACCTTACCCATACTCGAAAGTAGAGAGGCTGTTTCCAAAGAGACCCCCGGCACGTTGAAAGTTGCATTGCTTGACTAACTACTACTTCATAAATTAAAGAAGCACAGACAGTTTAGAGATCCATTTTGATTTATTCCATCACACCCCAAAGCCAAAAAATGGTGAAATTTTGGCTCCATCGGAGATGATAGAAATAACTGGTCATCCCCGTTTATCACTAATTAAATCATGATTTTAAATATCTCCAAACAAATTCATTTCAGATTTCAAACCTCATATCATTTCTCTCAGATTTCATAACTCATATCATATCATTTCTCCAAAACTCATCAAACGGGCTCTCAATAACAGTACTTGCACACCACTCGGGTGTATCAAATTGTATTCAAAAAACGTATGATGAGCCTCACATATACTCCCTCCGTCCCCAATTTGATTACAAATTGCGGGTTACAGAGTAAAATTTCCTACTTTTTGAAATCATTTTATTTACAAATTAGTATATCAATAAGATATAAAAATTACATATTAAAAAACTACGTCAAAAGTTCTACAAAACAAGAGGTGACAAAAATAATTTATTTTATCAAATACTTAACCAAATCGCGTAAACAAACAAAAGTTATCGAGAGGAGAGATAAAAAAATTGTAATCTATTTAGGTATGGAGGGAGTATCAAATTGTATTCAAAGTATTAAAGGATTGTACTAGTAGTACTTTAGGCCATTTGTACCCATCCACCGCACCCATCCGCCACTCAAAGCTCGAGCGGGCACCATGCCGCACTTCCATTGTAGGAGGAGAGCCGCAAATTCCGACGCGACACGGGCCCCACTTATTTCGCAAAGCCGGTCTTCATTTCCAGCGAAAAAACGCGGAGGGCGGCTATTAGGAGGTCCGCCGCGCTGGTTGACCCCCCGTCATTTCTAACTCAATAAATTTAACACGTCTTCTTTTTTTCCGATCCATTTTCTTCTTCGACTTATTTTATTTCAGTTTTATTTTTTTAATATCAATAATTAATACTTTATTAATCTTAATCTTTTTATTTATTTTTGTTAATTTTGAATTTATTACTTTTATTTTATTTATTATTATTGTCCTATTTTTATTAATAAATAAATATTTGAATTAAATTATATAAGTTTTGAATTAAAAATGACAAATATTATAAAAGAAACATAGAGACGAGTTTTCAAGACGATATAATTGCAAGATTTTAGAGAAGACGAAAAATTAGTAGAATGCTGATGTGATAAGAGTTGAGGTTGGGCGGTCAATGGGATCATTGTAAATGCTCTTAATGACTTATATTTACACAAAAATTGGCACGAACATGGCTGACACGCCCCAAGAATGACATGTCAATGCTCTCTCCTATCTACCACGGGGTGGGGGGCGTGTTTGGGTCGGAACAGAGTGGGAGTTTACCGAGAAGATAGAAGGGTAAGAATCATCAATTTTATAAATGTGATACTAGAGCACCCCTAGATCATCCTATGACATTAATTTCCAAAGTTATAGAACTAAGAAGTAATTAATTTATAATTTCAAATTTTTAATTTATTTTAAGTTTCTTTCAAAACACCATTCTTACTATATATCTGCATAACTCAACATACACCAAATTACAAGTGTCATAATGGTACACAAATTACACAATAATCAATAATCCTTTGCATCAATCTAAATAAACAATTCCTTAATACGGAGTACATAGCCAATTGTCACACTATCAAACATAAACACATTATCAATTGTGGAAGAACCCATACACGAATAAAATGGATCGGGTCAAAAAAACCAAGAGCATTGGGCTAACCCGACAACCCGGCCGTGTATTTCACGCCCGTTGACGGCAACCACGAGTCACCCAAGAGGAACTCGGCCACCGTGAAGTTATGTACTTGGGCCGAGTTGTTCATCAGATGGTAACCGGGCCACTTGACCCGCGTACCCAAGCCCGACCCGGGCCCGTAGTTGGCGAACTCCGCGTAAAACAGGGAGTCCAGTGCGAAAGTTCCGTTCCATTCAAGCCATCCTTCGGGTCGGATCGCGGCGGCCATGTACGACTGCATGACCACCGTGCGCGAATAGAGCTTCCACGGGCGGCCGAGGTAGTTGGCGGTGGCGTTAGCGGCGGCGATCACATCCGGCTCGGCCGTGATGTTGCAGAATTGGAGGGAGAATCCGGTGGGCTCGGCCGGATCCTTGCGGCCGTGGGCGGTGATCGTGTTCTTCTGACTCGGAAGGCCCTTCCGGACGGAGATCTCGCAGCTCTGGAAGACGGCGGTGCTGTCGCCGAAGATGAAATCGACGGTGCCGGTGATCTTGCACTCGCGGTAGAACTGGCGCATGGAGTGCGCGTAGAGCGTGTCTTGGTAACCCCTGATCCCGCACCGGTACAGCACCGACAGATCGGAATCGGATCGGAACGCCACCGCCTGGTGCTTTTCCGGCCCCGCCGTGTTCTCAAATGTCAGGTCCCGTGCTATAAATCCACGGCCTTTCACAGCTGCAACAATCCAACACCGTCCTTTTGTTACTTAAAACGGCGTTTTAACTTTTATTTGGTGCAAACATTAGCTAAACAAGTTTCTCTATATGTGAAAGAATAAATTAATAAGAACAGTGATTATTAGTTGGAGAGGAAATAAATTAAGAGTAAAATTGAAATAAAAAAATATTTAAAAAATCTATATTTTTTAACTCTAAAATAAGAGTAATCCCTCTAACCTGAAATGGTCACAATACCGTAATACTACGTATGATGTAAACTCCTATTCTAAATATAAAAATACATTTTCTCTAGTCTAAAATGATCTCTTCAATTATTATTCATATGCTCAAATTTTAATTATTTTCTTTATCAATTCTTTCTATTTATGTGATAAAAAATATATATTCATATTACTTCTTGTTTTGTAAAACTTTTGATATAGTTTTAAAATATATAATTTTTTTATATTACATCTATAATTAAATAAACAACAACAACCCAGGTGAATTCCACAACAGTAGGGTATAATCAAATAAATTAAATTAAAAAATGTTTAAGTCAAGCCTTGTAAATCAAACTGGAAAAATCATTTTAATACGGAGAGAGTAGAATTTTTGTATTAAAGATAAATCTTACTCCGATCCGTATATTTTACTTTTACTTATGTTGATTTCTTTTATTACTTAATGTGAGTTAGTTATGAACTTATGAAATCCTTTTCCTCCATGTGTATGCATCTACGTTGATTTAATTTTAATCCTTAATTGCTCTTAATGTTTAAATTGCATATACATGCAATGAAATAAAATTATAAATTTTTTTAACAAGAGAAATCTAACGAAGTAATCTTCATACTTCTATAATTTATAACGTTTAGTTAATTAAAATCTAAATTTTATCAAATTTAACTTGAATCAATAGATGAGTATGTCATTATCATTTAGTTGGATCATAATTCATAACCTAAGATTCATTTCGAGCTGATCTAATAAGCTAATCAAAGTGGCTCTAATAAGAGAAACTTAAATTTCCTCAACAAGCAAAGCCAAACAATGTCCGCAAACATCGCTTTCCTCAGCGTTAGTGTCGGACACGCGCATATTCAAAAAAAGACTTTTTTCTTACCGAAAGTAGCAGATCTGTATGTGGTCCAGCCGTCAATGAAGCTCCGGTTGCCGGAAAAAATGGTGGCATCCATCCCGTCTCCGATCAGCATCAAGTTCCACTTCTTCTTACCGATCTCCACGTACTCTCTGTACACCCCCTTCTTCACGTATATCACATACCGGCGGAAGCTCGTGTCCGGGGCGGCGGCGACAGCGTCGCTAACGGAAGTGAAATTCCCTGTTCCGTCGAGCGCCACCACGGCGTCCGGCTTCATTCCGGCCGCCTGGAGAAGTCTCCGGTCACTGGGTCTCACCCAATACGGGAGTTTTTCTCTCAAATTCCTGTTGATCCGCTTGGGCGGTCTTCCCGGAGTCGGGCGAACCATGGTCAGAGCATCCCGGACGGAGGAACCGATCTGGGTCAAACTGCCGGCGACCAAATTCTTGACGATACCGTTAGTTCCGGCGAAGCCTTCCAAGCACGTGTCTTGATTGGTCATTGCGCCGCTCAGCCACGTCCTCAAATCGGCGCTCAAATTCCCAGTCGTCCCGTTATCCTTTTTGCCGTAATTGGGATTCTGAGAGGCGGAGAGAGTGAGGGAGAGCTCGTCGGCGGAGAGCTCGAGAAGATCAAGGCAGTCGGAGACGGCGTGGGAGAGCCTCAAATCGCCGCCGCCGAAGAAACCGCCGAACCTGGACACGACGGAGGTGACCTGCCGGACGATATCTATGGTGGTCTTCAACGACCCCATGAAGTCGGAGGCAGAGCCCTTCAGTAGGTCGACCGGAATAAGGTCGAATCCATCGTAGTCCTCGTCGGCGGCAGAGCAGCCCGACATGGAATAGAAACACAGGACAGCCAAACAGAGCGCCGCCGCCGCCGTAGCAGCAGAGGCCCAAGGAGAAGCCATTTCAATTTAAAACCTCAATTAGTAACTGGAAAGCAGATCAGAGAGGATTGAATTGAAGAAGCTGAATTAAGGGAGTTAAAAATGAACAATGGGGAAATTAAAGAATGGGTTTTTTTGGGTTTTTCAAGAAGCATACAATGGTGAACAGAGAGGTGTCGTCCTAAACAGGGGGATTGAAGAAGATTAAAGAATGAAAGAGCAGGGAATTAAGGAAGTTAAAGAGGGCCGGTGAAGAAGAAGGGTGCAGGCAACTACTCCTCCTCTGCGGAATTGAAGGTGGCTAAACATGCACTATTTATAACATAATAGTCCCCCCTCTCCCCGTGGGGCATAGTTGGGCGGTAAAGACTCCGGTGTAGTGTCTGACAGCTGGCTGGCAGTGTGGGAAGTGGAGGTTCGATCCCTAGCAATGTAGATGTTAGTAGGGCTCAGACTTGAATATCTGTTGTTTGCCGCCACGCCGAGTCGCCCTGAGGTCCGGGGCAGAGTCGCCCCGGGACGGACCGTATGCTCTGTTGCTGTATTACGTCCTAACTACTACCTCCGTCCCGTGAAACATGGGACATTTGCTTTTTAGGAGGGATTTAAGGGAGTGTATCTTGGTATTGAATTTCCAAAAATGTCCTTTGATGTGATGGGTAAAAGTATGATTTGATGGATAGATTATTAGTAAAAAGGTATGATGTGATAGTTAGGATATGAAAAAAGTAAGGGGTAAAAGTGACTTTTTAATAGAAATGAGAAGTGTTTTGTGGAACGGATAAAAAAAGAAAGGGGAAAGGTTTCACGGGACGGAGGGAGTATTATATTGGACCAAGTCCCTCTTGTGTGCCTATTTTTTATTTTTTATAGAAGTAGGGCACAAACCTTTGTAATCTAGAACTGCCATCGTAATACAATCCGATCTCCGTTCTTGCATGTGGACGTAGCCAACACAACGTCGACGAATCGCGTTAAATCTGTGCGTTTTTGTTCATTTTTATTACTAAATTACTATATTCCGTTTTAACAGTAGAATGTCAAATTTGCACTAAATAGTACTCCGTACTAAATTACCATATTCCGTTTTTGTGCGTTTTTGTTCATTTTTATTACTAAATTACTATATTCCGTTTTTGTTCATTTAGTACATAAATTCTTTTCATTTCAAAAATAGTACTTGAGAGGTCACTAATCCCTTTTTCATAAGAGAATAGTCCCTCTGTCTCATATTATCCGTTCAATTTATTTTTTCTGAATCAAGTTTTAATTTGTAATCATTTTTTAAATTAAGTTTATGATATTTATTTTAACAAAAGATATCTTATGAATAAATTTTTTGATAATTTATACTCCGTAATACTTTATATACAGATGTAATATTTATTTAATGTTCCAATGTCACTGTTTATCCCCGTTTATGAAAAAGTTAAAGTCGATAAATACAGAGTATTTAAGAACGAAGATGGTACTACTTTAATTTCAGTGATGATATCAAATTTGATAGCTTGATATATATGCCACTCAACATTAACAAGAATCACCTAAAAACAGTAGGTCATTATCTATATAAAATAGTGGTGGCTTAAACTTTAATATTGTGTGATGACATGCCGGATACGCTGTCCAACATTTTCGGGCCAGAAAGACTTTCGACACAAAGAATACCGCAGACTACCAATCCGCAAAGGTCACACCATTTGATCTGTCAAATCATCTTGTACCACCGCCGTTAATACCAAACAGGACACGTTGCCCGACCACCACTTGGCAGAAAGACTTTCGATACAAGGAACCACCTCCAGACCTTCGGTCATGTAGTCACACCAGGCACACCGAGAACTCTGTACAACGCAGTTCGCCACTCCTACCCGCACGTATTAGAATGATATTGTCTGTTTTAGCGAAGTCCTCACGGATTTATTTTTGGTCACCTCTCAAAAGGCCTCATATTAATGGAGTTGAGTAATCATATATATTTTGGTTGCCTTTCTCCTCGTCTTTTGGTGTGGGAGGAGTTTGCTACCCAACACGTATAATTAGTTATACGAGCAATTTATATGATAGGATGATTTAATTTGTTAGGACTAGTAATGACTCATTTTGATCGATCTTGTAATAAGATTGTCAAGAAACCGATTCAACCAAAAGCTCAAGCTTGTGGTTGTGGCACAGGAATGATTGTTATATATACTCTAACACGCCCCTCATGTGCAGACGTGACTCTTTTGAGCCTTGCACGTAAAACCTTAAGTTTTTAAAATTGGGTGACGGTGAGTTTCGAATTCGTGACCTCTTTGTCATCAAGGCTCTGATATCATGTCAAGGAACCGATTCAACCAAAAGCTCAAGCTTGTGGTTGTGGCCCAGAAATGATTGTTATATACTCTAACAAAGCTCTTAAATTGTCAGAATTGGTTAGAGTGGGAGTAATAAGTGGGCTAGTTGACATCTAACCACATCACCAAGTTCACAACTCACTTCTTCTCCATGAATGAATATATATATTTATTCATAGAGAAGAAGAAGAAGTGGTAGCTAGCTTATTAGGAATGCTTATCTGCATGCATTTATTGGAGAAATAATACTTAGAATTGTATATATATTGCTTTTGACAATTCGCACATCTTTCCTTTTCCATGTGCCATTATTATTTGATTCAACAGTTCTCTTCTTCCAATTCTCCAGTGTTCCTTTTTTCTTTTTCTTTTTCCTTTTTTTTGTACGTTTATGGTTTCTTTTTTTTTCTTTCTTTCTTTCTTTTTCTAATTCAGAAAACACGTTTACCCGCCAGCAAAGCATTCTAAGAAAACATTATCTAGATCTCATCTTAATTAATTGTTAAAAATTGTGGTGGACCATAAATTACAAGTAGAGTATCTAGTAAAATTAAATATTTTCATATAAATTCGAGATTCACTTTCTAATTTGCAAGTTTAAATTGTTAGCTATAATTTCACCCTTATATATATATATATATATATATATATATGTATATATATATATATGTGTATATATATGTATATGTATATATATATCTGTGTATATATATATATATATGTATATATATATATATATATATATATATATCTATATATATCTATATATATATATATATATATATATATATATATATATAGATTTTGGTTCTGGTGAGAATGCGATCTTAGGAGAGAAATGAGAATGAATCTGGTGCTTTAGATTGTGCGATCTAAGGGTCAGGATTGCATCAAAATTAGATGCAACAAAATGATTTAAAAATGCATCACGTCGAAATGCATCATAATCCTTTCGAAATGCACTATCTCAAAATCTGAGCGCAAGATGCAATCTGAGCCGCACGATGCATCAGATCCAACGGCTAGATTTCATTCTCGTTTTTCTCTACAAGGTGCATTCTCACAGGAACTGGCCCATACATATATATATATATATATATATATATATATATATATATATATA